GTCCACCAGCACTTCCATATGCTGCCACAACACAGAAAAAAAAATAAAAATAACCAAAACGTAATGTAAGCCATTTAAGCTACCTATACCATACCTTGCTTGACACCCATTTTCTCGGTGTTGCCAACTCCAAGAAAAATTCATTATCCAAATCATATTTTCCTGCCCCCAGATGCAACCTGCACAAAAAAATTACAAGGTTTTAGTACAACATCATTAAACATCAACCATTCTCAAATGTTATTACTTACACTTTCGGGTTTCCTTGCAACACCTGCTTGAAATAGCAAAAATCAACATCCTCCTCAGCTGGCACAATCTGTTCTAAGCTATATGGGGCTTTCGCCAATAACAGAGCCGCCAAGTCTGCTTCTGACTCGATTGGCCTGTGCTTCTTGCTCCTTGGACACGGGGATGAGTCACTCACATAGGTAACCATTTCTTTCCCACTTATATGCGACTCATCAACAGTCCTCACCTCCCCAGAAACGGATGCATCAACCTGGATTTCAAAAACACCACAGAACAAAATTAAACCAAACAAACAAGAACAAGTACATTTCTTCAAAACACGTTCCACTTATACAGATTACCTTATCAGAACCCACACCTTCACCCCCCACACCACTCATATCAGAGCGGCGTGGTGTGGACTGAGATACTTTTCCATCTAACTCCTGTTCTTCAACCGCCGCACCAGCCCTATCAGCTTCATCAGCCTCAACATCTTCATCAGCTGCTTCACCCGTCAGCTGTGGACAAATACCAAACCCTTAAAACCTTAATCATCAATCCGGGCATTACAATCTACTATTCGTCCACGCGTACAACTAGACTCATATTTGCGTATACAACATAACCACTTGTACACTCGTACAGCAGATGTTACTCGTACAAGTTAAAAAAAACCTTGACACCAGCATCCTTACCTCACTAACATGCCCAATCCCTTGGCCACCCTTAGAGTCACCAAACTTACTCCCATGCTCCTTAACAAGTGCACCCACCAATTTGTTCAGCCCACCTAAATCCTGCTACCCACATATGAAATTTATAAAACAAAACAGACAGAAAAGCAATTAAAAAAAAAAAAAAAAGAACAAAACAAAAAACAAACCATGTTCACTTCACTCTCTTCCGCCATGCTTTTTGATACTAACGAATTTGCAGTCTCCTCCCCACCACTGCTGACCTGAGCACCCCCCAAAAAAAACAAATCAAACATTACAACAATGTATACTAAGCATCCAAAAAACTCAAATCACCTTCTCATTTATGCTAATGCCACACTTCTTCACCTCGTCTCCAACACTTGTACTCCCCTGCACAAAAACATAATACAAACAACAAATGAAGACTTTGCAAACAAATAGAAATAAATGTTAAAACAAAATACTTACATCATCCTCAGTTACATAAAACGTTTTGCTTGTTGTGGCTCTATAGAGTACAGCTCCACCGTGACCCTTCAAACTTTTCTCCACCCACTGCAGCGGTACACCATCGCCTTCTTTCAAGGGTACAAGCATTTCTTCAGGTGGCTCAGAGTAACTATCATCATCGTCTAATTCCAAACCATCCATCTCATTAGACTCACCATTATCATCAGCTTCTGGTTCTCCCATCAAACTATCACCATCACTCTTAGCATCTCTAAAGTCCTCCAAAGGCTCAACAACTACATCCGACACACCACTGCCTGGCACCAGCTTCCCATCCACTGGAATATCACTATTATCACCAGGTTCTCCAACATCCCTTCCGCGATCTGATGAGCTCTTACCAACGAAATCGTCATCACAAACTTCATTGTCACCAACATGAAAACCACTAACCGTTGGCATCTGCACTATCTTCTTCTTCTTTTTCTTCTTGGATTCTCCACTGTATAACACACCCTTCTTGGGCGTAACTCCACTCCTCTTGCGCCGTAATAACTTCTTCTTCATCCAGGCAAAAGATTTCTCCATCTCTCCTACACGGGTTTCCAACTTCATGATTCTTTCATTATCAACAGCCTCTTCACGAACATAGTACTGGCTCACTCTTTTTTGCTTCATAACAGGACAACATTGACCAGCTTTCCTCGTCTGCGCCATATCCCTCTTCCTTTTCTTAGCTGCCTTCTGCACCTCGTGGTTGTACACAGGCTCTCCACCGTCCCCTCCACCCCAATCAGACTTCTTGAACTTGTGACCAGCGTCAATAAGCGACACCATGTAGCTCACTCTGCGGTCAAATATCTCATCATCCCATTCACCCCACCCATCAGGTTTGTCCTCCCCAACATCCATCCGCGGCTGCACAATTAACTGCACATACGCAAACAAAACAATAGGTTTATAGTGTACACAGGTATTGGTTTTTTTCAACGGTTGCAGCTGTACACGTGTACGCACTTTTGAAAAGTAATAATTACTACCTGATGGTCATGCTCGGCCTCCAAAACATCAACAAGATTTAGCCCAGTGTGCTGTGGTAATCTCTCACAATCTAAGATCTTTAGATCATCATTCCCTCCCAACCTGGCCAACAACTGTGGGATCCCTTCATAAGCAACCAATTGTAGAGCCAAAGGCAAACCCGACATTTTCTTTGTCTTCTGCCTCAGCTTCACACAAAAATCAGCCTCTGGATCCTCACATTTCCCAAGTATCTTCTTCCCAGGTATCATTGTATTAACCGTCCAGTAAAACGATTCGCGCCCCCACTGAAAAGAAAAGAAACTCCTAAGATTCTCAACCAACTTCACATGCTTCACAGTTGGCCTAGCTGGTTGGGTAGATGCTATAAGTACACCATCAACAAGTATTATCAAACACAACCTGAATCTCCTGCTAACTGACAGTGTCGTGTCTTCAGTTACCATCTTCACAACATCAGGGATTGTAATGTCACGTCTACCTCCAAACAACTTATCCCAGTACAAATAGTCTTCCTCCTTGTAATTGGGCTGGAAATCTACAACATAACCACTCTCAAACTCCCCACATGGCAAACCCGTCACATTCCCAAATTCAACCAACGAAAATCTGAATGGATTACCACCAAAAACTGGCCACACTTCATACTTCTTCTTCGTAACTACCTGACGTGATAGCATCGCGTGGACCATAACCGACGAGTAGCTGCACCGGCGAACGGGTAACTTGTATAAATTCCCAAAACAAGACCTAAGAAGCTTCTCCATCTCAGGAGTTCCCCTTAAAACATCTCTCACCACCAACAGTAGCTCTAGCGAAGAGTAGACATTGAGCCTCCGGCTAGGGTATTGGTCCGTAGCAAATAACCTAGGAGGCAGCCTCTCATCCGGCAGGCTAACGGGGTTTTCCTCCTCTGTTATAATATTAGTGAATCGTCAGAAACATTACTCAAAACAACAGACCGTAAATGATGATTTTCAGATCTAACAATTATAACCAAAACCCAAGAAATATACTCTCAAAATGAACACGACTCACCGGATATCGGGTCTTTCCCTTGTCTTCTTTTTCTTGTCGACATCTTCACAAATCTGAAATCGTCACCTCCGCGTTTTGCTCTCCAAGTTTATGCGGCGATAAAACCAAACTTAGGGGAAAGTAGTTGAAACGACAAAAAAGGTCAAATGGAGCAAACACGAGGAATAAAAGGTTCCAGCTTTTGAAATTCAAACCCAAAAAAAAACCTAACTAAACTATCTGACTAAAACCCATCTCGTTATCCAAATGAGGGGCAAGCTGGTCTTTTGGCATCGATAATGTGCCCCAGTAGCCCAATGTGTCTTATTCTGTTGGGCAAAGTCAAAAAGTGACCCAAATTGTTATTCTCTCCTTGTTTTTCATGTTACCATCAGTGGCCTTGGAAAATGTATATAACTGCGTTTGTGTAACAAATACATTCTGACTCTTGTGTTGTTGATTGTGTCTTCGTTTGCCTCAAAGGCTCAGCGATCAACAAATTTATAAAAATATTTAATCTGAAAAATACAATTTATCTTTAGAATTGACAATAGAGGATTTTCTCTGAAAATGTGTCATATAGTGAAATTTAGGTATTAGTTTCTAAATGTATATATTCGTCTAGATATGTAATCAAATCTTTTGTTAGGAAAATATATGCTGTTATAGATTTTGGAGATCAAATTAGTAAATTAAGATTCCTTTTGTCTTCGTGAGAACATTAAAGCTAAATTTCGAAAAAGGGCCAGAAAACAAGCGTCTTAATCGGCCCGTCACGTGACGAATGGACCGCGGAAGAGACAAAACAAATCAAAAGAAACAACAACATGCGTGGCATGAACTCGCGGTTATGGTCTCTATAAATCCTCCTCTTCCTCCACATCCCCTACTCCTCCCTCCTCGAAAGCAGAGAGAGAGAGATTCAGAGAAACCAGGGTGAAAGGAACCAAAAACGCCGTCGTTTCATCCACCATTCTCTGCATTCTCTCCTCCCACGAGTTTCTCAGCTTTTCTCGCGTTGTAGCTTTAACACGAGCGGAGATCTTGTCTCCACGGTGGGATTGAGTTTTTTTTCTCTTCACGAAGATCGTGTTCGACGGTAAAGTTTTGAACTTTTTACTTTTTTACCTCCGCATTTCGGTTTAGGTGGCTTCTGTTGCAACTTGTCCTAATTTTTATTTTTTGTTATGAAAATTTGATGATTCATGTCCTTTACCTGCATCACTGTAATGGAAACTCATAAACTCCTTTTTTTTATTCCATATTGAAACAAAGAATAATTAGGTCTTGACCTTGTCTGAGGTGTCCTGAAGAGAACCTTAAAACTGAGCTTATCTATTTGACAATATAATGCTTTGAAGTAACAACGCTGGTCCACTCGTGATTTTTGTTTTGTTTTGTTTTGTTTTGTATATTGCACATGTGTTCTTTAGCTCGTTCCTTGTCTTTACATGTTAGTAGTACCTTTCTCGCCAGCATCTACCCTCCAAAAAACCATAACTTGTGTCTTAATCTTAGAGTTTTTCTTTTGGTGGGTTTACAGCATTTTAATTGAAGAAGATGGTGATGTGGGTCTTTGGCTATGGCTCTCTTGTGTGGAACCCAGGATTTCACTACGATGAGAAAGTGTTGGGCTTCATCAAGGGTTATAAACGTGTCTTTGATCTTGGTAACGCATTGTTGCTTTTGCTTATTTGATTGTTTTATATCGTCTTCCCAACTATTGATGGTTGATTGATTGATTCTTTTTTGTTTGATGTGATTGGCTAGCTTGCATTGATCACAGAGGTACACCAGAGCACCCTGCAAGGACTTGCACACTCGAGAAAGATGAAGATGCCATATGCGTAAGTAGATTTTTCGAAGTGTCTACTTGCACATTCCTCTTTTCTTAATAACAATCCAATACTTTCTTGACAGTGGGGTATTGCATTCTGTGTCCGTGGAGGACCAGAAGAAGAACGTTTGGCTATGGAGGTATGTCTCTGCATTCTAAAAACTAGATTGCTTGATGTAACATGTTCATCCCTTTGTATTGATCATTCTATGTATGCACAGTACTTGGAACGTAGAGAGTGTGAATATGATCTCAAGACAAGTGTAGACTTTTACAAAGTGAGTCACAACATGCCCTATACGATTGAATAAGTCTCTTCTCTTATGCTCTTGTATTTGACCTCAAAAGTTTATCTTCTTAAATTACATAGGAAGATGATCCCCTGAATCCAGCTGTAACTGGAGTGATGGTGTAAGTTATTTTGTTTTCCTGTGTCTTTGGTCTTTGTTTTTACAAGTCTGTGTTGTGAATTGTTATTGATGTATTTTTTTTTTTTACCATCTTCAGATTCACTTCTACTCCAGACAAGGTCTCCAACAAGTATTACCTTGGACCTGCGCCATTAGAAGACATGGCAAAGTAAACACTTATCCTCTCCATACCAATATCTTATGTTCTTTTAGTTGATGTGCTCTTGTCCTCACACTAGCTTGGTTTTCTTTTTAATGCAAAGACAAATTGCGACAGCCAATGGACCATGTGGTAACAATAGAGACTATCTTTTCCTGCTAGAGAAGGCAATGCACGACATTGGTTAGTCCAAAAGCTCCCTTTTTCCACAACATGATTCGGAAATTTTGAAGTCAACATTGATAAACACTCTTTAAAACCAACAGAGACATTGTTTTATGCGTTGAGTTTTTGTTGTTTCATGCAGGGCATGAGGAGGAGTATGTTATAGAGCTGGCCAATGAGGTGAGGAAAGTTCTCGCAGAGAAGGTATCACCGGTGAAGGAACCAAGAGCGAGCCGTGTGTCTAGCAACACCAAGAGCAATGTCCCCACGGCTCATCAGATACTTCCTCAGCAATCTGAAGCTGTTGCCACTACTATATAACTCTTGTAGTTTGTCTTTTAATTGGCTTTAGAGACATTTCATTTGTGAAAACAGATCGTTTTGCTTCTTTTCTTAACAAACCTCGTTTTTGAGTAGAAAAATTAATCTCCGTGCGTTTGAAACTCTGTTGTCTTGTTATCCTAACATGTGCTAGTTGAGTTATCTTTCAGGCTCTGCAAGTAACATTTTGAGAAATTAAAGTATGTTGGAAGTAATAATTTAATAAACTTGAAAGATTTCAATAATCAACACTTATGTTATATTTGTTTTGTGTTACAGTGAAAATTAGAATGAATATACGCTCATAGGTCAGGAATTTTGACCAAACCTAAACTGCCGGACCGAACTTTTCTAGATTTTGGTTCAAATTCGATATTAGTTCGGTCCAACTCGATTTAGTTTTTCTTAAAAGGCGGTTATTGGTTCAGTTGGCTGGTCGGTTAATATTTTCTTTCCATTACAACTGGGAGATCATGATTTGAACATCATTTTTATCAAAAAAAAAAATGATTTGAACATCAAACTTATCGAACTAACCAAAGAACCAAATAATTGAACTAAGTACATTTAACTAAACTGCCAGAATATTTAACCAAATTAAGCCGAATAACTGAAACCAAAATTATTGATAAGGTTGGGATAAATTTTATAAACCAAACTAACTGAATACTAAAGCAATCCAATTCATCAAGGTATTTTATGAACTAAACTAACCAAAAACTAAATTACCAAACCAAACGTTTCAACCGAATCCACATGTGTATATTACTCGCATTGCATTAAGAACACACAAAATATATTAAATAATTAGTAAAATGTTGTGCGTGATCTCATGGATAAAAATATCATATCAAAATTATACGTTATATTTGAATAAATAATAATAATAATAATAAGTATCGAGGAAGTCTAACTTTTAACTTTAAATAATTTGGAAATTATTAGTCTTGGTATTATATAATCTTATAAGGATTTTGAAATTTAATGATAAATCTATAAACTTTAATCTGAGTTTCCAAAAAGATATCAATCATTTGGACACGATCCAGATTGCAATAAAGAAAAAAGAGCTGGCAGATGGCACAAATTGCAGCAGAGATTTTTGAAATTGGGGGAAATGATCAACCAAAAGAGGCGGATGGCTGAAACGGGGAGGTGGAAATGTCAGGTTGATGTGTCCTGGAAAGATGTTGATATCGCCACAGGGTTTGGGTTTGTACTACTCAAACACGAGAGACCCATCTTTTCGGCCTCACCTATCCACGCAGAAGCAGAAGGTTTTATCTGGACGATACAAAAGCTATTAAAAATTGGTAGAAAAGAGACCCAAATTCAATCGGACTGTGAGGGATTGATGAAGCTTATGCACACGGACGTGGAATGGCCAACACTAGCCTCGAAGGTTGACAAAATCAGAGCTTTATCTTATGTTAGTGTCTATGTGTCCATATAGCTAGCCCATGACGTTAGTCTAGCGGTAACAAAATAGTTTTATGTAAAAGAAAAGTCTGAATTTCCAAAAAAAAAAAAATTATTACATGAGTTATGATTAATATGAAATCAAAAATTAATTAACAAAAAAAACTGAAATTTCCATAACTTTTTCAAATCACAAATTATTCTCTCTCACACACACTTTTTTTTTTAATTTAGTGATTAATACAAAATTCACAATTGGTTAACCAACAAATCCATCCTCAAAATCTTTCCAGTCATCACACTATGTTATCAAACACTGATTTATTTGACCTAAATTTTCACTAAAAGTAATTAGAATGGGATTTTTTTTTAAATGATTTTTTTTCCACTTTTTAAATGATTTTCATTTATTTTAAATTACTCTAATACATGTTTATTTTTGAATGTTATGCTAGACATTTATACTTAATAGTGTGAGATTCAATAATTTTATTACATCAAAATAACAAGTTCTTATTTATATAAAATTTGTTAGAACTTTCTTATCATATATAGTTTGTTGTACCACAACAATACATATCACTATTTTGTAAATAATTTTATTCTACTTTCAATTTTTTTTATCTTCAACTTTATTAATGTTAGAACTGATTATTTATACTAATCTTCCTTATTCTATTTGTCTTCATGTTGTAAATGCACATAAATCTAATTAGTTCACTACTACAGTAACACGTGAAACACATCTATCCCAGTAAAAACAAGTATGCAAAAATATAAAAGAACCAAGAATATAACAAAGAAGTTTTATTCTTCATTCATGTTTTTACATATGTATTTTTTCCAATTAAAAATAAGCATGTCAATTTTATTATAATCAAAAATATATAATTATATCAATAGCGTATCACTTTAGTTTTGTATTAATATACTGTTCAGATTCTTTCAGTTTTATATTTAATACAAAAATTTATTAGTTAATATTATTTTAAGCAGTGAGCCATATAATTTCTTCATTTCCACACATACAAATATTTTTATCACTCATGAAAGTGATATCAATATTTGTCACTGAAATATGACTGTACGTTAATATTTGACTGTTCTGCATTCAATTAACACGTTTTTAGAAAATATATATAGTGAATGAGTATAAGAAATATGATTAGTTTAAAATTAATTGGTTTTCTGAAATTTTGATCTATTGTATCCAATATTAATGGAAATACATCTGAAGTCTTTCATATGATTATTTTTAGAAATAAACTATGTCAATTCATTTATATTTGAGATGTTTAATTGTTTGTTTGGTAGCAAATATTAGATTATGAAATTTTAAGATTAAATTATTTTAATTTTAATTTAAGAAATGAAAGTTTATATATTAAAAACTAATTAAATTAAGAGAATTAATTTTAAACTTCATAGATAATCAAAATATATCTAAGTGATTTTTCTTTTCATATATAGCCGGATGCTAGTTGCCAAAAAAAAAAAAGCCGGATGCTATTTCCTCCATAATGGAAGAAAAAAAAACAATAAAAAATTGTATGCCTTGGGCTTATGATTGTAAGGCCCATGATAACAACTAGATCTTGGAGGCCTTTACGCAACCTTTCCTATCTCGACCCAATATAGCGAGAAAAAAAAAAAACCCGACTTGGGAATTAAGTCAGCTTTTTCTTCTTCACGACGAAACTCTCAGCTCAGAGATACTTTTCGAATTCTACAGCAATGGATCTCAATCTCGATGCGCCTCACTCTATGGGAACGACCATCATCGGCGTCACTTACAACGGAGGCGTCGTTCTCGGAGCCGATTCACGTACCAGCACCGGTGAGATTCCTCTTTCTATTGTTTTTTTTTCCTTTAAGCTCTTCTCAATCGGAACTGGAGGATAATAATCGAATTGGGATCTGTAATTACTCTGCGCAGGTATGTACGTAGCGAATAGAGCTTCGGATAAGATCACACAGCTCACTGATAATGTCTATGTCTGCCGTTCTGGATCGGTAATCTCTCCTTTCTTTCTTTCGATGTCTCTCTTTAGGGTTTAATGATAATCACGAAAAAGGTCGTCTTTTTTTTTTTTGTAGGCTGCTGATTCTCAGGTTGTTTCTGACTATGTCCGTTACTTCCTTCACCAGCATACGTGAGTGCTTCCTTCTTCACGACTTGTTACTGATTATATAATAATTTGTTTGATTCTTTTCTTCGCCATGTTCGACTAAACTACATGACTTAGTACTTTTATATTCGTTTGTTTACGGTTTGTAGAATTCAGCTGGGACAGCCTGCGACTGTCAAAGTTTCTGCAAACCTCATTAGGATGCTCGCTTATAATAACAAGGTACAGTTTTTGGATTTAAAAGCCTGCATTTTGTTTGGTTGTTTCACCAGAAACTTAAGGGTAGTCGAGAATGTGGATGTTGTTTTATTTTCTACCAAGGTAGAGATGAAATGGCCTACATAATCAATGATGAGTTTTGTTAGGAAGTGTGACATTGTTTGTATACGTTTCATTGATATGCGACTTGACCTCAAAATTTTGGGGGCATGGAGATTGATGTTATATGTCAGCTTGCTAGTATATATGAATCTCATGTTGTTCGTAGTGTTGTTGTAAAGGCTGTTCTCTAGTCTGAAAAATGAATTTTATAATGCCATTCTGTATCATGTGCTCAATAGGTATGTATTCTTGTTGTAATATTATCCTAAGATCTCAGATTTCTATGTTGTCTAGCAGAGATGCATCTACAGTTCGTTATTGTATAATTATATGGATTTTTTGTTCGCTTAAGCATTGTATGTCTTTGTTGGGCAGAACATGCTGCAAACTGGCCTCATAGTTGGTGGCTGGGATAAATATGAAGGCGGGAAGATCTATGGGATTCCACTTGGTGGAACCGTTGTGGAGCAACCCTTTGCTAGTGGAGGTATTGCAAACCAGATTGTTCCGTCTCTTATGACTTTTTGATTTTTGACATAGCTTTATTCGATTAAGTTATCTTTGTCATTTGCGATGATACATAGCTTTCTTGCTACTAAATAGTTGAATTTTGTGTGTTTGTGTAGGCTCTGGCTCGAGTTACCTCTACGGGTTCTTTGATCAGGCCTGGAAAGAAAACATGACCAAAGAAGAAGCTGAAGTAAGGCGGTTCAGATAATTATATCTGCAAAATTTGTTGTAACTTATCCTTGCTATTGTATTTACGCTGTGTATTTTTTGCAGCAACTTGTTGTGAAGGCGGTTTCACTAGCCATCGCCCGTGATGGAGCCAGTGGAGGAGTTGTACGGACTGTCATAGTAAGATATCCCTCTGACCAAAACTCGCTTAAGCTAAGACTAGTACAACCTCTTTAATGGAACTCACTGGACAAAACTGCTTTTTGATGTCTTTTTGAACAGATAAACTCAGAGGGAGTAACCAGAAACTTCTACCCTGGTGATAAGCTGCAACTTTGGCATGAGGAATTGGAGCCCCAGAACTCCTTGTTAGACATCCTGAACGCTGCTGGTCCTGAACCAATGGCCATGTGATGCAACATTCTCTCACTCTGTTCAACAAACGTTCTAGATGTTTCGTTACATGTACCGATGTCTTACTTTAAACTCTTTGAGGTTCTTTTGGATTTGACCCAATCTCTCCTTTTAAATGGATATCGTGTTTTTGTTTACTGTTATGGTTTTAGTTCCTCTGTCCTGAAATTGAATTACTAAAGACGTGCCATTTTCTTGTAATCACGACCTTTTTTACTTACACATGGTTGAACAGTGGACACTTCTATAC